TTAAAGTACGGAACAGTTGGAATAGTCTGTCTGAATAGCTAAAAAAGATGCGAACCGTTCAGACATTCAAGTTAGTCCCCGATCGTAGGATAGAATGGCTTCGGAACAAGCACTCTTGGATTGAAAAATGGACAACCAAGAGCTTTAGCGGATGACATGTTTGTATAACTAAAATAATTTCGCATGCCCCATTGCCGGTGGAAACTGAATCGTTTGTGACAAAAGTTCAGTTCAGTTTGCACAGGACAGAAAATGGCCACGGCGAATCGAGAGTCCAGAATTCCTTCAGCTGTTACAATAACAACTCAGGATAACGTAGATCCACAGTGACTTAAGTGACCTCGTAATTGCAACTTTGGTTGTGGCATCCGCTTTGGCAGATAGAGAAACCTGGACGGGTACTGGAGTTTCAGGGTACAAAACATGCTCATCCAGGGTCGTAAGCTTATGGTAGAAAGATGAATAGTTTCTACAATCACGTGTGAGGGAAGATTAGGTCACTAAATCCAAAGATAACATGGCCATTAGTTAGCTGTCCAGATGGCACTCAACGATATTTTCAATTCAAGTATATGCTTTATGCACCCCGAAAGGTGAATATTCAACGCATGATTTAACCAACTTCATTGTGATTCATCCCACAGCTTTTGGTAATCAATAAGGTGGTGGACAGTTTGAATAAAACCGTTGGTCTCTCTGGCGATGGCCTACCATCCGTATTTTCTTTTCTCTTTGGTCATTTAGAACATCTATCCAGAGCATTTGCGGTTCATTAAGCCCCTTTCTGCCCTGACTATGAGAAGTATTCCGCGACTGGATGTATTTACTCAAAGCTGTGTTCCGATTAGCATGGTCAATAGTCTTCGAAATTCGCGTCGGAAGACGCCAACTCGTTCTGGGATCTCAGATTTCAATGCGGAACAATAATGCGAGTAGGGTTGGGGTATGTATATATACAATACTACTATTAGTAGTAAATTTATTAATGAAAATTTTCTATGATACATACAAGTATGAATATGTATATATGTGCGTGAGTTTAGATGGCAGTGTCGAAAAATGGAGTGGAGCAAGAGGGGGCGAAATGCATTATAGACCTGAAACAATTTGGATGGACACAACATGGAGTACAGCCTAACGGAGTAGAGACAAATACGAAAAGAGAGCGAGAGTAAAGTAAGGACTCACAACAGGATCAAGACCACAATAGATGATTTCTACTCTGTAACAATGCGTGTATGTGTGAGACTCAGAGACAGGAAAGACAGAAATATAATCGGACTCGCGAGGCGAATGACATACGGATTCGCGTAGTTTGTTCTATGCACAATCCCTCCGCTGAAAAATCATTGAACAGCAAAGAAAGAAAATGGAAGGTGTACATAAAAAGACTACAGTCTGTCACAAAGATGGGGAGTGGGGCGGGCTACAAGGGCTATTTATCTACACATATCGTTAGGAGATGGAATGGAACTACAAAGAAATTAGACCGGATTTGATCGTATGCACGTTTTTCATTGACCAAGGGAAAACGAGATGGGAAATGGGAGAAAAAAACAAACACACTAGCAAAAGAGAAAAAATGAATAAGTAAATCAAAGCTAGAAACGAAATGATACATGTGTGTGTGTGTGTGTGCGCGGAAGGCGGTAGAGTTAACCTAGATAAGTAGTGTGAACG